AGGTCATTACTCTGCATGACTGCTTGGCCACGGGAGTTAATAAAACGAAGTAGTTTTAGTAAAACAACGCAAGTTTTAGATCAGCCAATGACAGAACGGTGGGGAAGCTTACTTTTACGTCGAGTGCAACTTCAGTTTAGGTTAAACTTTGGATGGTTTTAGGAGCTAAAACAACGGGCAAAATATGTGAAAGCACAATAGCAGCTTTAACGATTGAACGTTTTATATAAAGCAAGGTTGCACTTGTCGACTAGTACAGTAAAACGAAGCAAAAATCGAAGGTTCTGTCATTGGGCGAAATAAAACACGTTGCTTTAGTAATTATAGGTCTAATGGACCAAGGCTTGGAAGGACAGCCACCGCTGCACTTGGTCGCAGCAGACTGCGGAGTACAGCGTCGGATGAGCACATCACAATACAATGCAGGGGATGCGAGGAGAGTGTAGAGCAGCGACGATAAAGGAGTCCTCTACAACACTCCTCCATCCACCATCTTCGTTGCAATCCACCACCTTTCACCCGCCGTGTGCGAGGTGGCGGGCCATGGAGTGCAGCGACAATGAAAGACGGCCACCACTGTACTCTTGGATGCCTTCGGCCGTCGCGAATTATTATGGAATAGCTATGCAGATTCTGTTGGTCCGTGAAGGTGCGGCACCGTCTTATACCGGTACCTGCTACATACCGTTGAGTGCATCGGTGGCCGTTTCTCCATTTCGCCTTGTACACTAACGGTAACTCCAAAACCAAAGCCAATATATGTATTAATACAACTGTAGCTACTAACGGTAACTTCAAAAACAATGCCAATATATGTACAACTGTAGCTACTACTATGTAGTACTCCGGAGTACGTTTTAGAGCCTGTGCACCAGGAGTCGACAAATTGGACGTGCTTGTGGAGTTTAAACGCGAAGTAGTTTGTAACATACACACAAGTCAACAACACTATAAAACAGCTAAAAATGACGTCCTCCTGGCTTCGTTAAACTTAGTTGGCCATGTACGCAGCGACGGCCAAGACCACGGCCCCCGCGGCAGAAACGGATGCCGACGCCGTGACAGTGGGGGCTGCGGTCGTTGTGGTGTTGGAAGTGGCATTCGCGCCCGGCGATTTGGTCGTGGTGCTGGAAGTAACGTTGGCGTCCGGCGATTTGGTCGTGGTGATGGAAGTAACGTTGGCAGGCTTGGTGGTCACGATGGGCTTCACAGAAGCACTGGTTGTGGTCGGGGCAGGCGTTGAGGCGGCGTTGATCTCACCCACTTGGTTGTTCTTGGCCAGGAACTCCTTGAACGTCCAGTTTAATTTGTCCGTCTCGTACACAGGCGAGTCGCCGACGATGTACGTGCAGGGCGGGGACACGCCCTTGATGGCGGATGCAATCGCGTCGTACCACTTGGAGCAGTCGGCGCTGGCGAGGAGCTTGGCCTGGTCCGACGACGAGGTGGTGGACGTGAACACTGGCGTCATGTCCGTGCCGCCGATAACTTTGGCGCAGGCCTTGGCGACGGGGCTGGTGAAGTGCGGGACCACAGCTTTGGCGATGGAGAGGGTGCATTGACTCCCGTTGTCAGCAGTCACAACGGCGGCGGCAGAGGACAGGACTACCCCCACGGCCAACGAGAAGGACTTCATGGTGGTCGAGTATGTGGAATTTGAATAATGACACTGGGTTAGTGAAATGCTACGGAGAGCCAGTCGCGTGACCAGAATATTAAGCCTCAAATGTGTATGCGTATACAAATGGCCAATGTACCCGAGGTATAATATATGGTCACTGGACTCGAGATCTGTACTGACGCCATGCGTAACAAACCAATTTGTATCGGCACCTATTCAAGCTTGCCATGATCAGTACATTGCCCGTTCTTAGATCGCATGAAACCCTTTTCATGATCCCAAGTATTGAATTACATATAAACGCTAGTACATACGAGTCATATCGACAATAGAATTATTCGTCCCACTCTTGTATTTTCTGAGAGTATACAAGAGTGGGACGAATAATTCTATTGTAGTGTATATAAACTACCGGTAGTGGACCAGAAATAGTAATTTACGTAGAAGTGATCTACTGATCGTCTCAAAATACATCAATTTTGACTAGTATAACCCATACATCGAATCCTTCAAATCGTGCACGTATGATGTAGAACGTTCAATCGTATTTAACTTTGTAGTTGAAGGCTAGTCTAAATCGTCTTAGTTGTTGAGAAAGCGAAAAGTAACTAGCAAACGAGTGAATTTTCGGGCCATCAATTGATCGTTTAGTGTAGAATCTTAGACTTCTGGGTATGGATAAAAGAATCGATCGAGTCCATACCTTGCGTTTGAGCTAATCAGTTCACGTATGCACAAGACGGTAAAGATCTACTGTACCGACTACATATTATGCATAGGCGATCACCGAATAATCGGTTCATTCAGAGAACTAGAGAATGGTGCCGCTCATGCAATGCAGGAACTGCAAGTTAGTGGTCTTGGCACTCACAGTGGTATTACTTCGAAGAAGAATACTCCAGCAGCGTTGCTAATGCATACTTACATACTACGTACAATAGTACACTTCAAAGTAATTACTACGTATTAATAGTATTGTGGATACGATACGAAATCCATTTTTGAGTGAACTTGATTGGTTCTTGCAAGTATATTCAACCAATCAGAACTCCGGCGTGATTCAATATTTATTGGACGAATTTTGGGAGTTTATAGCGAATTCACAATATAACGTATAGTAGAACACAGTTTTTTATTGTTTTGTTTAATACGTGGTTTTGAGTGAAAAAGTCACCCTCTTTTTTATAGGGATTTGGAAACCTTGTTCATGGAACGACTTACAGTAAAGACGAGATACAGTAGTTAGGGAGGAACTGATCGCCTTGACCCATACTAGGAATCCGCAAGGTACTAAGTCAATCGAACCACTAAGTCAATCGAAACGAATACTGTATATTCACTACTGCTACATACCAGTGTCGAGCTGACAGACATTTTGTGACCCCTGGAAGTTTGAAGCTCTTTGTAGTGAGCAATTCTGGAGAGTGTATGTACTACAAACTATACGTATACTACCAGCGGTTTAAAAGTAACTAATAGTACTCCATTAGCCGCCATACACGATAGCAATGAGCACAAGAACAAGAACATAGGACAGCAACGGCGGGGCGAACGAGGCGGCCTTAGAGGCTACCTGTGTTGTCGTCGTCGTTGGACTAGTCGACATACCGGTCGATGGTGTCTTGGTGTTCACAGGCTTGAACAGAGTTGGTCTGGGCGACTGATCATTATCATGCTCACCAGTCCACGGCCATTCAAATCGGTCGAGGTACTCGATGAACGTCAGGTTGAACGTGGAAGTTGCGTAGCTATCGTTGCCTTGCGTGTACACACAGGGCGGTGTGATCGCTCGGATAGTGGTCGTGGCCTTATCGAACCAGGCCTGGCACGGCTTCAACTCGGCCATGCGATGGATGACGTCAGTCCGGTTCTCATACGGGATGTCCAAGAACGTCAGTTGCTTCGGGGGTGATTCCGGAATCAGCGCTTTCACACACACCGCGGCCTCGGTAGACTTGCGCAAGACCCCCAACACTGGCCACACCGTGGATGTACACGCCATGTCGATATCCGTCGAGGCGGCGGCGGTGACGACAGCCACGACCACGAGCGATCGCTTCATCGTTGACGAATGGATGTGAGTGCTTGCCACGGCGACGAGGGTCCAAGAAGAGGAAGTACTAGTATAACATTATCTTACACGTGCTTGATGATTGGTATTATCCGGACGACCGGATGTCTGAGCCATTTCAAGTGCAGTACTAACTGGTGTTAGTACACCAGTTTGCAGTTAAGTTGGACGAATGCCCAATATATTTGGCGGTGTGCCCAATATAATTGGCCATGTGCAGGTTACTGTTAATTTGGCTCACGGATGTCGTGTGCCCGATAAAATTAGCCGTGTGCCCAAGTAATTGGCCATCTGCCCGATGAATTGTGTCGTGTGCCATAGGACGAGGTCACACTGCAGGTACTATTAGTAATGTATATCTGGATGATGGAACGAATCAAAAGTCCAAATTTGGGTGAAAAGCACAATGTACCATAAAAACTGCCGTATTTGTCGTACCTGTACACAATGTAATTAAATTCAAACAATGCAGTACTCATTTGTTTCATGGATTTGAGATTACATAATTATATTCAGGCTTTCTACTATTTCATGGCGCAAATCAACGACAATTACGGTAGAGTCGATTACGTAAATAAAGTAGAAGTCTTAAGAGACGTGGTGGTGATGGTCGTTGTCACGTCCCCTGACCATCCGTTAGAAGCACATATGGGTTAGCAAGCGCTCCACGACCCGCCCCTCCAGTTGGCTTTTAAACGATATTACTGTTACTCGTAATATTCAAACACATAGTACATATTTACGCTATTTGCCCAACTTTTAGTTTGGCGCCAGATTGATTAATGGCCTTAATTGTTTACTTTGTTTTTAGCACTGCCACCACGTCCGATACAATTGCGTGGATCGCTGACGCTGGCAAGAACTTGGACGCCTTGTCCTGCAACACCGCCGCTGAAATCCCCGCCACTCCAACACTTGGGAACGTCACCGCCTGATATTAAACCATATACAGGTTAGACACACTAAAATCGCCACAAAAGACACACACTCTATCAACCATACCACCGTATCTGCACCATGCAATATATATAGCGCAGCAAATAGTATATAACGATACTACCCTTTAATATAATCTTACATAAAGGTTGCATTGGTAAAATATTTCAAGAAAATGTTCAAATTTTCAAGTACATGGTGCAAAGGTGCGACCAATACAATAGAACTAGTAGTTAGTGCATGTATATAAATATATATATATATATGTACTAACATATATATATACGTACCAACGACCCAATGGCCACAAGCACTCGTCCCAGGGTTTCTTCGTCTGCTATGGCCATACACAACTACACATCTCGAGTTTAGGAGTATGCAAACCTTTACCACCACATTTCATTTTACGGGTAAGTACGGTCATAAGAGATATAAACAACACTCACCTCGGCCAATTGCGTAGCCACAATAGTTGCAGCCCTATTCTCGTCTAGGTTGCCGCTGGTGGTCAAGGCGACTACCACGTCCATCCACAGCGTGGCCACACTCAACGCCAGTGGCTTACTCCACGACGAAATCGCCGGCCACGCCGAATTGATTCCTTCCGCCACAGTCTACCCATATCCAGCTTAGATACGAAGCCTGTTGATACACCCATATATATACAATATATATATATATAATATATATATGTATGCAGAAATACGGTTATATATATATATATACAAGAGATACGGTTATACGGAATCACTCTACCATTTTTGGCATCGATCGTAGAATAACACGAGAATCCTCTCATACAATCCACAATCTACTATTTATACAGAGAGAATGTACAAATATGAAAACATAAATCAATTCAACTATTGTCGATTTGATACAAATTTGGGGAGGGGGGGATTCAATCGAATCGTTGCGCCGACAAACCAATCCATAATCGATCTGATTGGTTGTTGAATTTCATTGAGAAGGTTTTAATTGGCTAATAAGTTTGAGCTCATCTGAGGTAGCCAATCAGATCGATTTAAATTACAACGAGAAACCACGCCACAATGAAATTTCACTCGAAAGCACAATAGTTGAAACGTGTTTATTTCTTGATTCGATCCATACAATGACCTCTTTATATATTGTGAATTCGCTATAAACTTCCAAAATTCGCGTGGTTTGATCAATATTCAATCATGCTGGAGTTCTGATTGGTTGAATATACTTGTCCTTTCTGTAAGAGCCAATCAAATACACTCAAAATTGGAGTAGCCAATAGCGTCGATTCGTGATTCGATTCGATTCGACGGGGTCTGGAAATATTCGTATCGAATCCACAATAATAATACCACATATCTTTGAACTTACGGGAACGAGGGCGATAACTTTGGACGGAGCGTGTGGCGTCCAGTTGGCCAGTACGCGAAGGGCCAAAAACCTCGTCGCATCCGCCGCATCTGGCGCAAACGCTAAACAGAAACAGTGTCGCAGCGATCACTTTAATCCGAATTGTGTTTCTTGTGTACTAAATAGGAATCCCATGTTTCCTTACCATGGCCGAGGACCAACGAGGCGGCGGTATCCGGCACGTGAGTGGCACCAACCGGATGCACCAGCACCAACCGAAGCAAGTCGAGGGCTACTCATATTGTAAAGTGACGTGGAGAATACAACCAAAAGTACACAAGGAACGAGCCAATCAGAGTGCATCAACATATAATTAGTGTGAAACATGTAATTAGTGTGATACCAATCACCACAACATCCTCATTTAAATACAAAATTCCGTACAATACACAATCAATCGATCTAGATATTTGGCGAATCAGCACAAGTCCAAATTTTGGGTAAAAGGACAATATTAAGGTGTTTAAACTCGAGCGACATAGAGAATAATGAATCGACACACACAAGAATTGGCACAATAATCCAGCCAATCAGATCGCAGGGAATAACACGATCAACCTCGAATTAGTGTGATTTCCATCACCCCAGGACAACATACAAAATTCAGTACAACATCGAATCGATCGAGAGATTTGGCGAATTAAAGTCCACATTTCAGGTACTCGGACACTATTGCATATTCGTTGGTGTTTTTGATTTAAAATATACACCAAGGTATATATATATATACGCAGTCAATATTTCCCATCAAGATTGGTTATAACCGTCGTCGAAAACGTCATATATAAATAACATACGACAATCGTATGTATATCATATATATAATATATATATATTACCTGGAAACACATGCGATGACGGCCATTGCCCCACCAGCTTGCACACAACCCCCACTTGGATTTTGGTGACGACACTCGAGTGATAGTACGACGTTTGCTGCAACGTCGAGATCAACGAAGACACCACCGTCAACTCCTCGGCAGTCAAGACCTATATATATATATATATATCATCAGAAATATATTTATAAACTTTCATGGAATAATACATCATGGCAGAGACAACGGACAAGGGAAAGAGTACCTACCGGGTACAAGGTGTTGAATTGGTCAACCGTGGCAAATAATTTGGCAATTTTGGCCGTGTCAAATGTCGCAAACGTTTTCTACATAGCAAAAATGTCACAACCCCAAATATATTTATATATATATATTACTTTCACTTTTTGTGGTTATATATATATTGATAGGTTGTGTATAACATGGGATGGTGGGAGCATACCAGTGGAAAGTACGCAGACGATGGTGCTGGGGGAGTTGGTGGTGGTAGTGGGGTCGCCTTCTCGGTACTTGGCGTGCTGTGATCTCCCAACAGCGGCGGCTGGTAGTTTGCCGAGCGGTCGCTAATGTAGTCTGCAATCTACAATTCACAATCAACCAAATCATATAAATAATATGTAAATATATATATATATATATATATATAGTCTAATCCATTATGGGGCCCTGGGCAGAATTGAATGCCTTACGAGCATGAAAAACAGAAAAGAACCGCCTAAGCCAATCAAATGACGTTCTGTCGAATTTCTGCCAATCCAATCGACCTGATTCGCCAAGTTGGACAAAACCAGATATACACTAAACAGTGTAGACCATCGCTTGACTTTACAAGCTTAAAATGGGCCAAATGGATTCGAATAATAATTGGCCAATCGATTCAGAAGTCCAAATTTAGATGAAAAGCACAAGAACATCTCCATCCTTGTATAAAACAAGCCCGGCATAAACGGCTTCAAAACCGAATTCGTCATCGAAACGAATATTTGTGATAGTATTATTATGATATATATATATATGATACCTCTTTTAAATACGACGGATTCAACAGGTGCTTGTCGATGAACGCTTGCGCGACTGTAAACGGGTTCTGCCCTTGGTTGTATCCAATCTCCCTGCATAAACCACATCAAAAAGTGATCAAAACACTTCAGAACATCCACACTATTTCATGTAAAAGATAGATCGACTTGCCCACCACGCCACCACGTGTAATATATATATATATATATATATATATATATTCTTCACTCCACTGAAAAAAAACTATATATATATATATATATAGTGTAAAAAACCATTATTATCATAAACCATATTGTAAAAAACAATATATACATACGTATTGATTTCACTGAAGCGACAGGGAGAATAAAATGGAATCGATACATAACCAAAGAAATGTACACAAATTGAATCAACTACAGTAGTATGTAGCCAATCCTATGATGGCAGGAAACCATATCATCAACACATCGAATTCGTGTATGACATTCAATTAGTGTGCTTAAAAATCACCCACATACAGCATTCAGGACGAAAAATCGAAATTAATCTACATATTTGGCGAATCAGCACAAAAGTCCATCGATATTAAAGAATTAGAAAATCAATTTAAAAAAGTAGCTTTAGAATTTACTAATCAATTTACTAAATACATAATGATATTGATAAAGATTTCTTTGGGTAAAATGGACTATAAAACCGAGTTTCTGTCCAATCATAAATATCCTTCGTACAGCTTCTTCACCCCCGACGGCGTTTCAATCTCGACGGGAATCACCATATCGTAAGCGTCGCCGTCCACAACTCCCCCACTGCCCGTGCCAGTCACTTGGCCAATCTAGAGAAATAGCATTTCATTTTTAGTTCTTACGGTTTATTCTTTATCTTTGTCGAGCCAAAATATATAAATATTTATTTATTTATATATATATATA